AGGACATGGCCGGCCGCAAGTCCACGCCGCTGCACTTCGCCGCCGGTGGGTACCGGGACGGGGAGGGGCCGGGGCCGGGCGAGGCTGCGTTCCCCTTCCCGGCGGGGGCTGTGGCTCCGGGAGGAGCTTCCCGGGCCCCGGGGAGCGGACCTCCAGCATCGCGGTGGGTCGGGAGAGCTCCAGTGTCAGCTGAGAGGAGGAGTGCGAGCACGCCTCAGGTTGTGGGGGAAGGCTGCTAAATCTCCTTGTTTGTCCTCGTCAAATGAAAGATCATTCGTTTGGGTGAAACCGCTGCGAGAGGAGGTCCTGGAGGTGTAAGGGTGCATGATCTAAAAATACAGACGCTTTTCTCTGTATTTGGCACGCGGGCTGCAAACTTGTGCATGTGTGCTTAGGAGGTGAGAAGCTGGAATTCGGGACAGAGTTGGCTTGAAGTTAAAGGTTTCACGTCTGTTGTGGTACTCTTGAAAGTCGGGGACACCTGTGATGCATGCAGACTTGATAGGAATCAAAGGCGTTGCCTTGTACTTGGCAGCTTTTTTCCCTTTTATTGGGAGCATAGCTGCTGATTGATCTCTGCACCTCTTGTGGTCTGAGTGGGCTGGGGAAGGAGGTGAAGTGAAACAACTGAAAGAAGTTACGCACGTGTCCAGGAGAAAATATGCCTCTTAGAGAAGAGATGTCATTGCAATCAGAAATTATGTCATAAAAGCAATTAGAAGTGAGGTCCAACAGTTTACATTAACTGGAAGTAAACATTGCCTTCTAGTAAGTATAGCTGTTAGGGGTTAGTGTGTTCCATAAAAACAAATTTTTGTACCGACTGTGGTCTTCACTAGGGGTACAGGGCACATGAAGTTCATGATAAAAGTAAAATGAGGAAGTTGTTTTAAATCATCATCCCTAACTCAGGACTTGCACAATTGCTAGGTCTGTGGTCAGGCTGAGGGGTTCTGACGTGTGCCACAGCGTTATGGAACTGGACCTTATGTAGGAAGGGGCACAGAGCTTGTCTGAGATCGAAGTGGTGCACTAGTACACATAAGATAATTAACACGATTGTATTGACTTGTCGGTATTCAAATGCTGGCATACTGAAATTGATAATACAAATTAACATTTCATGGCGTAACATTGCCTGAAACTCTTGAATAGTGGTGCTCAATTTATCAGTCAGATAATACTCTGAGATTTTATGGGTTTGTTTTCATTTTCAACCTACAAGTGGCATTTCACAATGCCCCTAAGGGAACTTTTGGTCCTGAGCTATTTCCTTTTCATTCTTCTCTGATCCCTGAGCACGACCTTATGCAAGTGGAGTTTAAAACACAGCAAATTTCCAGAGTGTGGAGATGGACTTAATTTTAGTGAACCCTGGAACGTAATTCTGGTACAACTGCATGTGTGTGCATGAAGTTTGTAATGTTTTAGAAAGCTCATCTTGAGCCTGCTTTGCTTGTTCTGCATTCAGACTTAAAATCAGACTTTGCTGCTTCTCCTTAAACTCTGAGATGTCCAGTTGTAACTTCGGTGCTAGTACAAACTCTAGTGCTGAAGTGGCAGTGGTAACTTCTACTTTGATTACGGAAGCAATGGACAAAACTTACTTAAGGGGTAAGGGCTTTGATAGAGTCAATAAGATTTGATGTTATAGCAGTGGAAGATGCTTCCTTGTGACATGATGAAAACAGTAGATGAAGTTCTTGTACCTAACAAATTCCTGTATCTGTTTTTCTAGATTTAAAGACTTTCCTCTGCTACCATACATATTTTATCTCAAATCACTGCAGTATGTCTGGTCCAAAAGGATTTGATGCGCATTAGACAGGTTTCTTATTAGAGAGATCTTGAGGTTCTGTAAGGGTGGTGTTTGAATGCAACTGATCTTAGGCAATATATATCTGCCAGTGATGCAGTGTGTTGATTTGTTGTTCTCCTTTGTGGGCAAAAGGAGAAATAAAATTGCTTGCTGATGAGCAAAGGAGAGTTGGAGAGTGCAATATGCAATGTTTTAAACTGCTTCTTTCAAACCTGTTGAAGCTCAACTCTTAGATGACAAGAGAGGGTTTCACTTCTGATCTTGTGGTTTACGTTTCCCAGTTTTGGGGGTAGCTGGATTTTTTTTTTTTTCCCCGTGGGTAGTTGACTTGTCCCTAGCTCAGTCTGGTGTTCTCAGGTGTCCTTTTTGGCAGCAATGCCAGGCAGTTAAATAACTTTTACTGTAACAGGGAAGGACAACTTCCCTACTTCTAGTTCTTTGTAAAAAGCACTAGTTTCAGGTTTCCTTCAGCCTTGTGACTTTTCTAGTTTCAAAATCACCTTTGTCTCCTTTCTCATGGCAGAAGGAAGATAAGAGGGGTGGCTTCGGAGAGCGTTCATAATCCTTAGCACATATGTAAGCTGGGGATAAGGTGAGAACTGAAATCTTGGTAATCAATTATTTAAAAAGCTAGGGATAGATCTAAATCCATTTCTAGAAATTGAAGCCATGTGTCAGTTATCCTCTTCCAGATAAAACGTGCATGGCCACATCAAGTTGAAGCAACAGCGTTATCCAGATTTTCTTTATCTCGGATATCTGAATTGTCAGTTGATTTGAATGAAGGGGAATCGATTCTTCAGGTCTGTGTTGAAATGTCAGATTAATTCAGTGTACTGAATAAATCTGACCTGCTTTGGTTAGCTCTTAATAATGGAGAAATTAACATTAAGGCCACAGCAGGGTGATAGAGACCTCTCTTGTCAAACAGGAAGAGGTTGAACAAAGGATCATTTTCCTTTCATTCTCCAACTGGACTGTTTTTCTAGCAGACCCTCTGTTGAAATTCTGAGTGTCTTTCAGGCTATGTGGTGTTCAGCTTTTCCTTTGCGAGTGATTTGAAGGATTCTTCTATAGAGACACATGTGCTTGGAAAGAGGAAAACTCAGTAGTGTTGTGACTGCTGTGTGGATTGCAGGATGTTTGGGTCTCTGGTACCAGTGCAGGCTTTGGATATTGTCCAACAGCACAGAAGAATTGGAATAAGAAGCAGGTTCTAAAGACTTGAAAGTGATCAAGTGACTTAAAAATAAAAAAAAAAAAAATATTAAGGGATGCTATTAGAGTATTCATAGCTTTTGCCTTCAGTTTTTTTGGTGAAAACTAGTTTACTTACAACTGAAAAAAATAAAAAGCAGCTGTGCTAGGCATGAACAAAGGTATGTTTGGCTCGAGGCTTTATCACTACTGGTGGCCAAAAGCAGATGTCTAGGGTAGAGTTATACGCTTGCTCTCTTTGTATATGATACATCTCTGAGTGCTCTTCCTGCAGTTTGTAGCTCAGCAGCTATTTGAGCAAGACTGTGTTTCTGCATGTTAGTAGAAGCTCATCCTGTGGTAAGGAGCTCACTAAATAATGGGACTGTTAACTGGTATTGAAAGTAACTTGCTTCCTCTTGTGTTTTCAGTCCTTTTCACTGGAATATCCTATGTTCTGCTTAATGGTTCTCTTCTTCAAACTGCATTGAACGAGACAAACTATTCCACTTCCTTGCCTTGCCTTTCCATTGCACTCCTCCTTTGATCTGAAGATGTTTCACCTCATTTCCTTGGAAAAGATCTTAACTGTCATTGTTGGTTTCATCAGGTTATGAACATCTTTACTGTGATATATGCCCCTCACTAGTTGAAAAATGTTGTTATAGCTGTGCTGTCCTTGTAAACTGACTTGATGATCCTGCTTTTGGTGGTGGTGTTGTCACATGGTTGACAAAATACTTTTTTAGCCCACATAACCAAATGAGTTGGTTGTTCTGCGCGTGTGAGAGGCAGATTTTTTTTTTTTTCCCTTTGGGGAATGCAGTTGACTTTTTTGAGTAGTTGGATGATTTCAACCCATGTGATAATGTGCCATGTTTTAGGTGTACTTTGTGTGGGGTAGAATGGGACTTGACTCTCAGCCTACTTATCTTCTGTGAATCATTATGTGGTTTGCAGGCTGGGGGGGCCTGTACTGGTCCATTGTGTTTGAAGCAAGTTGGCAGTGATGTTTTCATGGCTCTTTTTTTGTGTGTCATTGTCTATTCATAGCACTTTCATACTACGGTTGGCTTTCCAAGACTTTTCTACCTCTAATATGCCTAGATGGGGAGGACTCTTGTGACCTTTTGTCCGAAATCCCAGCTTTTTCCCAGAGCAAGCAAGAACTTGTAGGATCTGGTTTGGTAACGGACATGCTCCTTCACTTCTGAAACAAGGTTTAGCCTTTCAAAAGGATATATATGTATTTGTTGCTGACACCTTGATTCATTTGTTTTTAGGCTTAATCCTTGCTAGTAAATCATTAGTAATAGCACCTCTTTCAGAAATGACTAGGTGGATGGACTTGATAGAAACAGGCTGAGTCCTAGCTAACTTCTTCAAATAGCTGCAGCCATAAGCTTGTTCAGTTCCACACCCATTTAATGCCCAGTTCTGCACTGAGGAAGAGGTAGAGGTTTCCAAAGTGGCTTTTGGAAGATAGGGAGTTGGGATCACAAGATGAAGGGCTGTTGGTGGTATCAGCCCAAACTCAGGCTTGGAGAAGCCTGATTTAATGTGACTTGTTAGAGCATCAGCAATATTCCTTGTTTTCTTTCTGCTTGGGTTATAGTAATGCCAAAAAGCTGTTTGGGGAAAGTATTTTTCTGTGAGTATGCTTTTGATATCACTAGTAATAACTTTTGGAAGTAAAATCTTTTTATGAAGGCTAACATATATAACTGTTCTTTGGAAAATTTATTGAGTTTACAGCTTTAATCTGGAAGGCAAAGGGATCTTACTTGGGTTGGAAAATAGTGGTTAGAGTTGAAGAGAGCTGGTCAAGTTGATTTGCCAGCTAGCAAGCTGTTAATCGTAAAAATGCAAGCTGCTTCAACATGGGTAGGTTAGATAAGCAACTGAGAAGGCAGAGAGCCAGGAAACAGCAAGAAGTAGTTGGCAACTTACTTCACGCTTCCACGCAGCGGGGAGACACCTGAATTGACCACTCCACCTATGGTGCAGTGTACAACAGGTCAGCTTAAAT